TCACTCACTCACTCAAAACTGTTCAGTCCATTCACATTTTATTTATCTATTTTCCGTGTCCACTTTTCTTTTCTACCCACTCACCATGTTTTTGCTGTCACATCGTATCTACACTGGACGCGACAAAGCATTGCAAATCATTTGAACGTTGTGTCAGTACGTTATAAATAGAACGAGTCAGCAGTTTACTGTCGGGGATTTGCCGCATCCAAGACAGCATCACTGATTATAACAGTTCTATTTATTGCGTCGCGTCGCGCCGCTGGCGTCCGGTTGTAGACACGATGTAAGTTAATGTAGCTTTCTGATGCTGCGTTTGAATTTTCATGCCACATTATTTGAAATTAGCGCGGGCCAAACTTTTTTCTCTCGCGGGCCGCCTATTGAGGAACCCTGTTCTAGTTGATGTGACATGTCATAATGATTTTGTAATTCTGCCTATTATGTCAGAATTATGATTTTTATGTATAAATTATTATTATTATTATTAATGTGGAAGAAATGGGGTTCTATAACTTTGTTGACAGTACTTTTTTTTGCTCATTTTTAGAATAATGTTAGATGTGGGCTATAAACCTTTAAAATAAACTAATTTCATTTATTTACTGTTAATAAGTTACTATGTTAACTTTAATATCCTTAAAAGATACATTTTATAAACATTTTCACACAAAAAAAAACCTGGACCACATTTTTGAACAGCCCTGGCTTAGAGCATTTACACCTTCAAAACCATTGGTAGTGCTTTTATCAATATTTCAGCCATGTCGTAGAGGTTGCTGCTGGAGCATTAAATCAGAAATGTGCAGTGGCAAAGGGTTTTAATGGCTATTTTATAGCTCTACACTTTAATTTCTCCCAAAATTGTTGTAAAGTCTCTGTGACTGTGGAATGCAGCTTACTGTTCTAAGAACTGAAAGTATTATCTTTCTAAGAATTAAATGATTTTTTTTCAATCTTTTGAATCTTAGATTACTTCATCTCCTTGTTTGATTAGGCACTGCAGTTGTAAACATTTAACAGAGAGTCAAGGACCAAAGATGATCTATTTCTCTTTAAACCCAGCCAGACTCATTTGGATGTCCGTATAGTTTAGACATATCTGCCATACCTCTGTTAGCTGTCAGCTGGATCCAAGCACTGCAACAGCAATACTTGGCAGATGTTATTTGAGGGAGTTTATTTGGGCTTGGGAGTGTTACAAAATCAGAATTCTTCAGCTCTAAATCATTCTAAGTATGTGCTTGTGCTTTGTGTCATAAGGACCACTGGAACTGAAAAGTGCTGAAGGTGTAAAGCCGGGTGTCTTCTGTCTGTACAAGTAGTTTTGCTAGATCAGCAGTTAGGAGAAATATTCCTTGCCAGTAACAAAAGTGAGATTTATGAACTATTACTTGAGAGGATGGTGGGAAATACTAAATAATGGACAATTTGATAAAGTCATTTTGTGCTGGTTTTTGGGCTCTTTTTATTATTACATATAATATTTAATTACAATTTTAAAGAAGGCAATAGGGATGTCACGATACCAAATATCTTGTAGTCGGTACAGATACCACCAAAAGTACTCGATACTCGGTACCCAAATCGATACTACAGTAATAAAAGAACAATAATACTTTAACATTTTAACCCTTTAACATTGCAAAAACACAACATTAGTGGCACTTGGCCTTCAAATAATAAATAAAATGAAGCCGTTCAGCATAGTGTTGACATGTACATTGAAACCTTTGATGCTCTTCACAGACACTCAAACAAATATGGGAGCATTTGAAAGCAGCCGCCTGTCAGCGGGTACTACCGGTACTGGAAAGGCAGGTTTCGTTACGTTTAAAAAATTTAAGTATTGACTTGGTACCCAAGTACCGGTACTTTTGACAACACTAGCAGGCAATGTGTGCAAGATATTTTGAGTTCTCATGGTTTTGCAATACTAATGTTTAACGATTAACCTATTAATCGATTGTTAAAGGGATAGTTCACCCAAAAATAAAAATGTTGTCATTGTGTACTCACCCTCATATCTACTTTTATGTGCCATAGAAGAAAGGAAGTCATACAGGTTTGAAACATTTACTGTCGAGTAAATGTTGACAGAATTTAAATTTTATGGGTGAACTATCTCTTTAATTTTAGTGTCAGTTGATTATAAATAATTTAGCAAACTTGTAACATGTAAATATAGCTTGCTTTTTATTAGCCATTTTGTTGCACTAATGTATCTTGTTATTCTTTCCAGGCAGTCCAGACTCCTCGTCCTACTGTGAAGGATGGGCGTGAAAACCTTCACTCACAACTCCCCCAGTCACAGCCAGGAGCTTTTGGATAAGCTCAACACCCTACGCAGTGAGGGCCACTTCTGTGACGTCACTATTCGCGTACAAGGCCAGATGTTCTCGGCCCACAAGGTAGTGCTAGCTTGCTGTAGTGACTTCCTTCGAGCAAAGCTCTCTGGGAAGCCGGCTGAAGAAGACACTGTAATTGTAGGCGAAGATAACAAACATGTGCTAGATCTTCAACACGTGACGGTCGCCGGTTTCGCTCCTCTTCTGGAATACGCTTACACATCAACCCTGTCCATTAGTACGGAGAATATCATCGACGTACTAGCAGCAGCTAGCTACATGCAGATGTTTGCGGTGGCCAACACTTGCTCTGAGTTCATGAAGTCCAGTATCCTGTGGAACTCGGCATCCTCGGGAGCAGGAGGCCCCAGTAGCATCCAGCCTCCAGTTTTACACAGGCCCCAAGAAACCCCTGAAGGCCATGCGAGCTGCACCCTTGCCCCTGTAGATGCCCTCTCGCCATCTCCGGTCTCGTCTGAGTGCAGTGTACCAGAGCGGCCCATCCCTGTGTGCCGCGAGTCTAGACGCAAGCGCAAAGGCTTTGCGAGCCCGCAACCAGCATCCTCAACCTCTCCACAAGTCCCCAACCCTTCTCCATCCTCTTCCTCCTTCCCAGAGAGTTCAGCCCAGGCTCTGGAACCATCTCTGTCCTTCTCCTGGACATACCCCTTTGGTATGGACCGGCGGTTTGCATCAGATAAGTCAAAACTACCCGAAGGTCTCCTGGAACCATCTGGAGGGGGGCAGGACTCTAGTGGACGGGCATTGGTGGAGTATCTGGCTTGCGAGGGCCCACGTGTAGGGGGCGTGGCAGGGGTGGAGGAGGAGGAAGAAGAGGATGTGCAGGTGAAGGTGGAGAGGCTGAGTGATGAAGAAGTGCATGAAGAAGCTTCTCAACCAGTCAGTGCTCCACACAGTTCTCTGAGTGACCAGCAGACAGTTCCTGGCAATGAACACACCCATGAGGATCTACTAATCAGCCCTCAGTCCTCATCCATTGGTAAGACTCTTTAGTCTTACACACTTACCTAATAGTGATACTCTAAATTTATTTTGATATTTTGGTTATTTTGTAAAATATCATGTGGTGTGACTCCCAAATACGTAATGACGTTTATTTATTAATAATTCATAAAAAAATTATAAAAAAAACTTGAAAAATACACAACTGTTTTTTAAAGTGTTAGGTCAGTAAATGTTTATTTATTTTTTTAACAAAGCATGAAGAAGCTTCTCAACCAGTCAGTGCTCCACACAGTTCTCTGAGTGACCAGCAGACAGTTCCTGGCAATGAACACACCCATGAGGATCTACTAATCAGCCCTCAGTCCTCATCCATTGGTAAGACTCTTTAGTCTTACACACTTACCTAATAGTGATACTCTAAATTTATTTTGATATTTTGGTTATTTTGTAAAATATCATGTGGTGTGACTCCCAAATACGTAATGACGTTTATTTATTAATAATTCATAAAAAAATTATAAAAAAAACTTGAAAAATACACAACTGTTTTTTAAAGTGTTAAATGTTTATTTATTTTTTTAACAAAATTAATACTTTAATTTAGCAAAAATGCATTAAATTGAAAAAAGTGACAATAATGACATTTATAATGTTACAAAAGATTTATATTTCAAATAAATGTTAATAAACTTCTATTCATTAAATAATACAGAAAAATATCAGAAACCATTTTCAACGATAATAATATATGTTTCTTGCTCCAAATCAGCATATTAGAATATTTTCTGAAGAGTTTCTGAAAATTCAGCTTTGGCATCACCGGAATAAATAACAAAACAGAAAACAGTTATTGTAATTAATGTGAAATTATTTTACAATATTAGTTTTACTTATTTTTGTCATATGAATGCAGCCTTGGTGAGCAAGAGTCCTCTTTCAAAAACAAAGAAAAATCTTACTAGTCCTAAAATTTTGCATAGAAGTGTTTATTTCAAAACCCTTTTGCAATTATGATGTGTACATATCCTTGCTTGCACATGACATTTAAGTCATTAACTGACACCTTCCTGTAAATGGTCTAAAAGATCTTCCAAACCATATGAAATCAACCAGGATACAAAGAGTACATTTATAAGAACTTGGAAAAGTGTTTTAGAAATCAAGTTTAAAACATATGTAACATTTTTTTATTGTAAATAAATATGTCATTGAGCCAAGTGTATTTGTCTTTAGTGAGTCAGTAGATTATCAGACATAATTTTCCTGCTCTTTCACTGTATCAGCCTTATGTTTACTTAACGTATATACCTCATACAGTATTTATCACACTGACACACTGAGTTTAACTGGAATAGAGGTTCAAAAACAATGTTCTGCACTTTCTTCAGGCTCCCTGGATGAGGGGGTGACAGAGGGTCTCCAATCCATGCAGGGCACTCCGAACACTACTGGTCACATGGAGGAGGATGAGAGGTAAGAGCCCTTTGGGTGTCTGTGTTGTTTTTACAGAGTATCCTTTTACGTCATCTCACTTTTATGATTGAACTAAAGGGCCCCTCTGAGGAGGGACATAATTTTTCAGTCTTCTCATCATTGTCTGTCCTCCTCAAGTATACTTATTTCTAAGCAGTAGAGGCTTCTGTGATATTGTAGTGGCTATTAAGATGAGGATTTCTTGCCAAGAGGCCAGAGAAGCTAGTTGGCAGACTTTCTGGAAACTTATTGGACCTGGATTTGCCTTTTGGAATACTGGAAGAGTAGTGAAATGGTATGATGCAAAACAAATGGTATAAAAAAGACACTGCTTTCCGTCTGAGCAGTGAAGTCTGCTTTGATATGACAACTTGATGTGCCTGACTAAATGTGCTATATGTTAGCCTTAAACATTTGTGGGGTGATCTCTGTGGATCTGTAGACAAAGGAAAGAGTAATGGTAGCATGAATACAAGTAAAATACTCAGTAGGCAATTTGAAAGGAGGGCGTTTCTGAAGCTTGGTGCTGACATGACCGTCATAGTGACAACAGCCAATCACATTAGTCTTCTGGTGTTGCATGAACGCGATTGGCTAGCATCTGCGCTAGGGTATTTGCATAAGGCGATCTGATTGGCTGATGCCTGCATTGCCGCTTGAAAAGTTGAAAAGTTTTCAACTTCTGCCGCGATCAAAGTAAATTCATTTCGCCAACGCTTGACGTCACTCCATTCAAAGTAAACGAGAGGCGTTGACGCTGACGCCCCGTGTGAATGGGGCGTCAGTCTCTGTGTGCAGTTGGCATCTACCGTAATTAGTCACTTTTCCTCTTTTCCTGTCACTCTTTCTCCAGGCTGGAGAATGTCCAGTACCCATACCACCTGTACATTAGCCCCTCCACTCGCCCAGGACTCAACGGTCCTGAACGGCCCTTCCAGTGCCCTACATGTGGCGTCCGCTTCACTCGAATACAGAATCTCAAGCAGCACATGCTCATCCACTCTGGTGAGAGAACCTCTGCTATTACAGGACTCCACATTGACAGAGGCATTGCGTGTGAATAGAAAGATAACTTTTTTACATGTTGTTTTTTTCAAGGGGACTCAAGTAGGGCTGGGCAATAAACAGTATCATATTGAGATTACAATAAAATTGATGTCGATAATGATAAGCTCTGGGCATTTTTAGTCTATGGATTAATCTGTCACACAGCAGAAATAAACACAACAGCAAATCAGTGCATGCCACTAATATCACTAATTTCAGCATCTGCCATCTCAATATATAAAGACATGAACACATGAACTTCATCTCCATCAGAGTTGTTCTGAGAGTCACTTCACAAGCTTTTCACCATTTAATTTGAGAAAAACTACTGTCAACTACACACTGAAACTCAACAATCTTCACAACAACCCGTCAAAATAAAAGTTAAATTTAACTTGACGAAATAACAGAAATATATTACTATTGTGTATGAAAATGTACTTCTCAAAGTAAAATCGTATATATATAATAATTATTATAATAATAATATTATTATTATTTTTAAGCAGTATCGTACAACCAAGGTATTTTTTTCATTCATGTTTCAATTAATGGTAAACGAATACTGTGATAAATATTGCTATCATATGATGTGGGAAAAAATTTAGTCATATTATTTTTGGCCATATTACCCAGCCTACTTAAGAGTAAAAACACTATATTATTATTACTATAATCTTATTAGGTCATGTAGTGTTTGCAGACCTCTGTGGATTACTTGTGTCTATGAGCATTTTGCTAATACTTCAACTACTGAAGCTTTATTGTTAAAATGTTTTAGGACAGCTGACAACCTTTCATACAAGAACATGGAAAAGCTTAATATCGGGCCCTGTATTACATACACTTCTTGTTTGGAGAAGAGTACATTATGATTCACCCTAATCTACTTGCTAGTTTATACAGAGGTGCCGTTTTGTTTGCTGTTGAATGTCCAAACAGAACTCCTCTTTACGGCGATTAGTTATGGACTGGTGAAAGTGATTGCATGCAATTGGTTTAGTTGTGGCTTATGTGAACTACATGACATATACTGCTAGACTGAACCTTCACAATAAACATCCTGGCTTATTTGCATGAGTAGAAAGATGTGTTTAGTTTTTTTGTCCTTTTTTTTTTTTTAGCAGGTGTAGCTCAGTTAGCACACAACCTACTTAAACAAAGACACATTCTTTTTGCGGTCCTTTCAGTCTCATTCAACTTCATTGTCATCATTATTTACCCATTATCCCCGGTTTTCTGATATAGTTGACTGTAATCTTTTACATATTTCTTCTACAGGTATTAAGCCATTCCAGTGTGACCGCTGCGGGAAAAAGTTTACGCGGGCTTACTCCCTGAAGATGCACCGGCTGAAGCACGAAGGTAAACGCTGTTTCCGGTGCCAGATCTGTAGCGCCACTTTCACTTCCTTCGGTGAATATAAGCATCACATGAGGGTGTCTCGCCACATCATCCGCAAGCCTCGGATTTACGAGTGCAAAACGTGCGGCGCCATGTTTACCAACTCCGGCAATTTAATCGTACATCTGAGGAGTCTCAACCATGAGGCGTCAGAACTAGCAAACTACTTCCAGAACAGGTGAGGAGGAGCTGAACATTCTAAGAAAATTTGTAGAAGTACAAATTTAGTTTTGTTCGGTCGGCCGTTCATCCCATGTTGAGGTAGCAGAAACGTTTTTTGAATTAGGGGTAGAAATGATCTAACTGCATTGAACAATATGTGTAGTAAGTAAAATTACAATAAGGTTTAATTCGTTAGTTAATGCATTAGGTGTCATGACCTAACAATAAACAGTACTTTAAGGCATGTATTAATATTGATTAATGTTAATTTCACAAAGATTTAATCGTACATCTGAGGAGTCTCAACCATGAGGCGTCAGAACTAGCAAACTACTTCCAGAACAGGTGAGGAGGAGCTGAACATTCTAAGAAAATTTGTAGAAGTACAAATTTAGTTTTGTTCGGTCGGCCGTTCATCCCATGTTGAGGTAGCAGAAACGTTTTTTGAATTAGGGGTAGAAATGATCTAACTGCATTGAACAATATGTGTAGTAAGTAAAATTACAATAAGGTTTAATTCGTTAACATTAGTTAATGCATTAGGTGTCATGACCTAACAATAAACAGTACTTTAAGGCATGTATTAATATTGATTAATGTTAATTTCACAAAGAAAAATAAACTTGCATTCAAAAGTTACGTACAAGATTTTATATATCTCTTATGCTCGATCAAAAACACAGTAATATTGTGAAATATTACTACAATTTAAAAGATTTATTTTCTATTTAAGCTGAATTTGCAGCAGCCTTCAGTGTCACATGATCCTTCAGAAATCATTTTATTATTCTGATTTGGTGCTCAGGTTACATTTCTTATTGTCAAGGTTGAACATGATTTTTGTGGAAATCGTGATGCATTTTTTTCAGGATTCTTTGATGAATAGTTCAAAAGAACAGCATTTATTTGACATAAAACATAACAACATAAGTCTTTCCTGTAACTTTTAATCAATTTAATGCATCCTTACCGCATACAAGTATCAATTTCTTTAATAAAATCTTACTGGCCTCAAACTTTTGAACGGGAGTGTACATTTATTAACAAATTAACATTAGGTCATGTATTGTGAACATACATTAATTAACAATGACCAGTAGTTAACCTGGATTAATCAATTGATACCTAATGCATTAATGTCAACTGATTGAACCTTTTTGTAAAGTGTTCCTGGTTAAACATTGTGTATTTTCAAAGACAGCTGAAGATGACGGGTTTTTCTCATTGAGGTGTGATTGACAAAATGCATCCCTCAGATGAAATGTCTTTCCTGCTTAGTTTTAAGAGGTTTACCGCAGTCCAGGGTTACACCCAGTTGCATTGTGCTGCATTTGGCAGAACATTATTCGATGAATAGAGCTTTCAGGAAATCAAAGCATCTCCTCTATTGACTCTCCTGATTAGTATTATGACAAGTACAGTGTTGATCTGTTTCTGACTAGCTTTAACACATGGGCACACACCCTTCAGTTTTCCTTTTATTCTGTTCTCAAAATGGCACGTGTATTCCTCCTAGATGTGTTCTCCAGAGAAAACCAACTAAGCGGCTTTCCTGTTTGAAAACAAGTATTTTCTAAATGGAATAATCATGGCTTTGATTCCATTTTGGAAGTAGTGAGAGTTGGACTGTGTAATAGGAAAAGAAACACTGAGATGTAAACATTTGGAGTGAGCAGGGAAATCAATCCTACATCAGCTAATTACTGCTGAATAGGTTTTTTTAAATGTGAAGTTCTCAAAAAAGCTCAGTGGAATCATTGTCTATGGTTCTGAGGAGACTCTAAGAGACATTCTTCTGAGGTAATCTTCATGACGGTAGCCCTTCATTAAAGCAGAGGGAATGGAGTCAGGTGCTTTTATTCATTGAGCTCCTGCTACACGTAGATTCCCTTATTTCATTCAACTGTTTATTTAATTTAAGCCCTCTCTCTTAGGATCTGTGTTCTATTCATCTTTGTCAGGCACAAATAAACAGCGTCTATGCAAGTTACAGTGCTGAGGCAATAGTTTGGCTCTGGCATGTGCTTATTAAGAAAGGGAGTGGTCGTGTACTGTATGCTGATAAAGTTTTATGTGTTGCGATTGCAAGAAACAGCCAGCATTACAGCCATAGTTTTCAGAGATCTTTACTTTCAGGGACTTCATTTTTAAGTGTAATTTTAAGATGAGAAAAAACGTACAAATTGCTAACTCGGTTATTTAGATGTCTCACATATTTTAAATATATATTTTAAATTCATTTTTGTAATAATTGTTTTAAAAAAATAATTTTAATACCTAACTTAAAGTTTCTGTTAAGAACCTTTCATTTGAAAATCAGTGTTAAGAGTGCAACATCTTGCTGTGAAAAAATAGGAAATTATGTCTAAATCCTATTCATGGATTAAGCTATTAGTGTTTGAATTGTGATCGCTTGCTATATCACTTTTTCTGCCAAGCCACAATCCTCAATCTAGTTTTAAAGCTTCAATTTTGACTTTTGTTTAGATAGCTGGACTGTTTTGCCAGAGGACATTTTGCCAAAATGTATTGTTAGACTTGAACATGCTAGGACTGGCTGTCTGTAAAAAAAAAAAAGAGGATCCAAAGATTCTTAGACTCATATACCAAACTTGGAACACAATCTTTGATGAATCATAAAAACTTATTTTTTTGACAAATAACATTTGAACTTGTGTCTGAGTGGTTTGACATCCTCAGATTGTGGCTTCACAGAGGAGACTGAAAGCAATAACTTTTACTTTTACCTACTTTTGTGTTTTAGTCCCATTAAGCAAGTATTTTTTATAAAAATGTTTGAGATTATAGTGCTTAGAAATAAATGAAGGTACTAAGATTCTGAAAGTTTATTAAACTTTTCAGTTTTACCTTACGTGGAGTTAGTATTGTCGGCAGACATGATTTTCTGAACATTGGCCCATCTCTCCCTTTGTTGCCCTAGTGAGTTCCTCCTCCCAGACTACCTGAGTCACATGCAAGAGGAAGAGGGGCTGGGACACTTTGAGATGAGTGAGCAGACCTTTGAAGCTTCTTCATCCTCTTCCTCAGTCCAAACAACAGTTATCTCTCAAGTTTCCTCTACCATGAACTATGACAACCACACTTCTGCACCTCCTTCCCAAACCCCAAACCCCAGGTCAGGGCACGGAGGAGAGGCCGCACAAGTGGACCATCCGAAGTCCACTGCTGTTGTGACCTCTCTGCAAGACCCGGAGGAAGACGAGGGAGAGAAGGACAGAGGTGGAAGAAAGAAGAAGAAAAGACTAGTGTCAATTACAATTGAGTGAAAACATTCCATACCTGTAAACATGTATAATAACAGTCAATGTCCTGTTGCCCACTCAATACTTCTGTTGTTGACGGCCTATTATACTCTCAGAAAAAAAGGTACAAAAGCTGCCATTGGGGCGGTACCTTTGAAAAAGGTACACCTTTGTACTTTATTTATAAGTGTGCATATTAATATCTTAAAAGTATTAGTACCTAAAATTTATATATTAGTACTACAGATGCACTGATCAACGGGCCAGGGACCGGAATTAGCCGATTTTCCGCATGATCAGCCCAGACCGGTGACCGGCTGGTCAATCTCACGTCGTGTCGATTCTGAGCAGTCCATTTTGACGTCACAGCTATGCTCATGCGACTCACATCCGCGTGTAAACTTGGAAGTTCTTCACTGTGAGTGAAGAATACACAACGTTTGCAATTTGTTATACGTGTAAGGCCAGAGTAAACTGAGGGGGGGACCACAGGGCTTGATTACGCTTGTCCGGGACAAGCCAAGTAGATGGAGACCTCCAAAATGGGGTGTGACCTCCAAAACTGGGTGTTAACTCCAAAAGGGGGCGGGATCTCCACATGCAAGAGTTAGTAAATTAATCAGCATTTCTTGCATAAAGTTGAATTAATATTACATCAAATGTAAGCTAATGTGAAATATAAAGTTACTAAATATGCTTTTAAACATGTTTAATTTAGGTTTCCTTGGCCCTGTCCCACCACAACGCTCTGGAGTTATAGCCGGTTAAAGCTGGATCTTTGGGGAACGATAGCTCCCGACTGATTTGCCCGACTGGACAAGAAGTCTGATTAAAACGTCAATAACAAAAATAACTAAGGAAACTTGGCCATCAAAAATGTTTGTGCGAGAATGATTGTGATTTTATTGCATTCAGTGTAAACGGAGACTAATAATGTATTGATGTCTTGACAGATGAGGGTTGTGCTGAGTGAGAGAGAGTGAGAGAGAGACTCGTGCAGAAATCAAAACAAATGAGTGCAACAACACACACAAAGTAACTCACAGAAAGTTAGAGAACCATACTGCTGCAGAAGGTAAGCAACATTACAAGACCAAGATGTTTCCCCAAATATCAACATGATTGCAATGTGACACTGATTTTATACCATAGTAGTGTAATAAACAAGTTAAAATTAAATGACTTTTTAGACACAAAATTTACTGTTTTTGCTCAATTACGCTGACAAAAATAGTTCCAATCAAAGCCACAGCAGAACTGTTGTGTGTCTCCGAGCAACACAGCGGGATTACGTTACTGAATGAATCCACGTTTTTGAATGAATAGAGTGAGTCAATGATTCAGTATCCCATTTATACTGAATCATTCATGAGTCAGTTGCCTAGTTTATGAATGAATCAGCCATTTGAACTAATCGGTTGAATGAATGACTAAATGACTCACTCATTAAAACAGGTATTTGCTGCCAACTACTGGTGGTTTGGTTTCATATTAAAAGTATCCTTGCTTTTTTCCCAACATTTCTTATTTGTATGTTCAAAGAAATTATTTAAAACATTAATCTTATGACATTAGTTATGCATTTGTAATTTAGCGGTGTAAATTCATTTATGGCACCTCAGCTAAATCAAACAGCCTAATAAAAATACATCTAATGCCACTTCAGATGCAGCTTCTGTTTCCTCTGCAGTGGAAGGATAGAGTTTGTTAATACTGATTTCATTTGAATGGTAACAACTCTACAGTTTCTTATTATTCTAACTGAATTAATTGACACAATTTAAGAATTTGATGTGAAAGATGAGACATACATTTAATAAGGTTAGGGGAAAAATGCCCATTTATAAACAGTGGGAAATGACATCTGTTTTGTTATATACAGCAGTGGTTCCCACTGCATATTTTGCATATCTCTTTTTTTTTCTGACACACCCATTTCAGGTCTCTGAGTCTACTAATGAACTGATGATCTGAATCAGGTGTGTTTTATTAAGGAGACATGGAAAACATGCAGTGTTGGGGGGGCTTCAGGTATGTGGTTGGGAACCCCTGATATACAGCAACTAATTTCTACCTCTTTCCAGTCACAGAGCACTTTATTTTGAGAGTTGGTTAAGTGAGAGAGCATCTGTAACTTAGTCCAGATTGGGGGGGAACTGTAATGTTTAATTATTTCTTTTATTATGTATTTCTTTTTTTTTCTTTTCTTTTTTTTTATTATTTATTTTTTGCATTGAAAAAAAAAGCAGATTTTTGTTTTTATACGATGCCAATTATAGTTCTTAGAAAGAAAACCGGAATCGGCAGGCCACACTTACAAATAAAATTGGAAATCGGAATCGGCCAAGTAAATTGCAATCGGTGCATCTCTAATTAGTACCTAAATGGTTAATTTTAGTACCTTTTGAAAAGGTAATGCCCCAATGACAACTTTAGTATTTTTTTTTCTGAGAGTGTATGATTTAACCGCTTAAAAACTTGGTGTTTCATTATGAAAAAGTGCAATGCCTTTTAATTTGTGGGGGTTACTTTAAAATTGTTGTAGTATCTCATTTGATTTGGATTTACATAGAAATATCTCTGATAGACGATCATGGTTCTAAATTTAAAAAAGAAAAAAAAACTTGAAATAAATGTGACACTTTTTATTAGTAGCCCATTAATATCTGTGACTATAATGATTTTTTTCACATTTGTTTTATATTTAATTATATTTTTATTACATAATTCTTGTTTTTAACCGTTTTGTGGCAGTCTGTTGAAAATAATCAAATTGTATACTTTTTTTTTTTTTTTAATGATGTTCAACCATGATTGATGGTCTCCATTTATTATGCAACTTCCTTTTCTCCTATTTCAAACAAACCTGTTATAAACTGGGAAGCTTCAGTCATCTGAGGACCGCTCCTAAAAATGTGAAAGACCGTGTTACTGCTTCCATGTGTGTTCAGAGCAGAAACAAAACACACTGAATCTGACTGGCACAAAACACCCATGAAACCCTGTTAATGGGTTGTTGTGCATTGACTGACTAATCTGATGTGCTTTAGAGTGTTGTTTTGAATACGTGTATATGTGAAGAGTAGCCCTGTTTTCCTAGCCCTCTTTTCTGCTGTATGTGTAATGCTGCTAAATTTTGTAAACTGTGCCTCTTGCCCAGCTCTCCGAACCACTCGTCAATTTGATCTAAAGAGCTGTATGTGAATGCTTTGGGTTTAACATTCTTCTTTTGATTGTGACATATGGAAGAAATGTCAAATGGGTTACATTTGAATAGAGTGGAAGGAAGGTGATATTTCCATAGGCTTTCCCATTTTATTGCTGTTGGAATTATACTATGGAATTTTCTCCATAACTTGATGCCATAGTTGAGTGTGCCTAATAGTCTCCCAAACAAAGTTTATGAACACCTTGTGACTATGGCATGAGCCTTGATTGAAACTTTGGAATATGTAGCATTTGTTTTGTTTGGTGGTTGTAACGATCTCGTATCTTCGCTTCCTTCGTGTGATATTGCACCTGGCAATCAGTCAAACAAGTCTCGAAGCTGCTCCATTCCAATATGATTTTGTAGGGAACAAAAAGTTTTAATAAGTGTTGTGCAATATTGTTTAGGATGATTCACGTGGTCCAAAGTAAAAACCTTTTATACTGCAGTGGACAATGAGCTGAATGACTGAAGATAATGAAATACAGGAAGGGGGCTAGTCGAGGGAATAAGCTAAAGCATGTGCTCTTCCATAAACTGTTCATATGAATTGTTAATGCACAAACAGCGAAAGAAATCGCATTGTGTTACAAAAACTAGGTTGCAATATCGTTCGCTGATGTCATTTCCCTCGAGACAGTCTCCCGCTTATCTCACTCTCTCCATTTTTGTGACCGCCGGCTGTAGCTCAAACTCAATTACTTCATGGTCTGAGAGTTTGTAGTGACGCATTTATCCATAAGACAATATTGGCTGTCTGTCCCAGATTGCTCTTTGTGCTACTTGCATGTTTTCCGTGCAAAATGAAATATGGGTAAAAAAAAAAATCAATATAGCATGGGTTGATTCGTTTGTTGGATGTTGTTTCAGATATGTGCAGCTACCATTTTGTATACAATATTCAATCTTTGGTGTTCAGTTGTTTGAGCAGAAAGAAAGCGTGATATTTCAGTAGTCCTAATGATTTTTCCAGATTCTGTATCGATGACAGTTACCATAAAAAGTGTCAATTTGTACATTTGTAATATCAGTGTGAGTGTGAGTAGTTATTTGACTTGAGCCTTGTAGTGTTCGCTTTTGTGACCATGTCTTATTGATATATACTCTATATTCTTTTTTTAAAGCCTATTGTTTTAGTCGTATCTTGTGCCTTTTGGATATTGGATCTGTATTGTATTTTAATTGGCAGAAACATGCATTGATATGAATTCATAATGTTTTGTAGACAGAATGCTGGTAGACTTCAAATGTAGCTTGAAACTAAAAATATTTTTGAAGTGCTATTCAACCAACACATGGTTTAAACTGTATGTTTTGTGTTTATTTTCATAAAGACAAATGTACTAGTCGTTTTGTATCTCTTCACTGGTTTTTATCATCCATTTCTGTGCCAATTCAGATTTATTGAATGATGTTTTGTAAAAACATTACGTACATCAAGTTTTACAGTAAATGGTTACAGCCTAACACTCCAAGTTTGTTTAAATTCATTGCTTCCATTCTAATTGCTAAATACTCATTCTGGCTTATGTACTTGCCATACAATATTCCAACACACATGTACAATAACGATTAAATTTTTTTCACAAATTATATATATATTTTTAATTATTTTAAAAAAGAAATTAAAAACTCCTACTCAGCAAGAATGCATTAAACTGATTAAAAATGCTGTTATTTTTAAACGTTCTATTCATCAAATAACCCTGAAAAAAAATGTATCAAGGTTTCCCCAATAATATTAAGAAGCACATCGGTTTTCAATATTGATATCAGGATATTTTCAATATATATCAGGATATTTCTGAAGCTGACACTAAAGACTGGTGTAACAGCTTTGCCATCACAGGAATAAATTACACTTTAAAATATTAATTATATTTTCTTACTTAAATTTGTAATATTTCATATATTGCTTGTAGCGAATCAGCTCATGGGGAAATATTAATAATTAACCATAACTAGTTATAATTAACTATTCATATTTTAGATCCACTGTAGATATTTAGCTGACCACTCAGAGTCAACTGTCTTGTCAATTCTAAGACGTTAATTTCCTGGTTAAGGGAAATAACTTTCTTACTGTACAATTCTATAAGCTTGTAACGTAAATCTGCATGATTATTGACTCCGGTTATGAGTAAACAATGAACATGTCAAGTGTGATACAAGTAAGGTTTTATTAACTACATAAACACTTAAACTAGTCTAACATATTACATAAACACATTAAGCCGGTCTAACATACACATACACACACACACACACACACATACAGTTGGTATAGGAAAGGGTTAAAGTTTAACTCAGCATAGAAAGAGGCATAAAGAATGAATTTTATGGAACACTTTGCATGTATATTCAACAGATCAAAGCCTTCAGGGATACGTCAGATTCTGAGTTCAAACACACCTTTGTAAAAAGGTGTAACTGATACTTAATGTATCAATTAATAAGACTAAGTTTGATACTTAGCGAGTCTCGGCGGTCTGAAAGAGATTCCTGATGCAAATCTTAAAGCTTCCCGTAGATCTTTGCTGAATTCGGGTCGATGAAAAGAACCAGTTTGAGTCAGTGTCACTTGATGAATGGAAAGGACTAGGCCGAAGAAAGGCCTGGCACAGATGCTTTGTATCCTGAAGCGTTTTTCTCACATCTTCATCTTTGCTTCTGACCGAACCACCGACTGAGGCGGGTTCCTGGAGCCGGGGCTTTAAGGTCGGAGAAGATCTCCGCCTTTCAAGATGGGCTTGTCCAATGAGCACAATGGAATTTCCGAGCGGGAGGGGGCAATTGCTGGAGGGTTTACGACCCTTTGTTCTCTAAGCATGGTAATTTGCAAATGGACTTAAATCGAAACTATTAACGATTCTCAGGGTGCTAATATATATTGCCTATGTACCACCATATAATATACACGCTTGTTTCGATCATAAGAAGGCTAATTCATAGATACTAAACAAGGTAAGATTACATATAGTGA